GGGGGGGGGGGGGGTGATGCATGGTCGTTTTCGTGAATCTGTAACCAATACATGGATGGACGACGCACTCTGGTCCACTCTCCCCCTCTCCCTCCCTCCCTCCCTCCCTCCCGCCCTCTGAGTATGTCTTGAGCCGCTGTTTCGGCAACCAACACACTCCCCTCTCCCGTCTGTTCTCGCACTTACTCTTTCAAGCTCAGATGAGAGTCCCTCTCTCTCAATGCCTCTCACACACACACAGCTCACACCGACTTTATACGCCCTTTCACACCACTCAGTGCCGGTCTGGTCTTTTTGAAGAGATGGCTGCTGTGCTGTGCCGGACTAGTTTCCCCTCTGAAGGCAGACAGAAGGGCACACAGGGAAGGCAGATGGGGAATGAGAGAGCAGAGAGACATATAGCCACATCAAGGAGAGCTTTTTCTTGTCGAAGCGACCGTGGCTAAATGGTGCGTGTGCTGCGGTGAATGGCAAGTGGTGTGGTGTCGTGTCTTAGGTGGGTGGGTTGCTGGGTGGCTGGGTGGGGGGCAGACAAGACGAAGAGAGCAGACAGGGAACTCTTTGCTGCTGGCCGGAACAAAGGCCTTGGCATGCATACACCATGTATGTATTTTTACACACATGCGCTCCATGACAGGCAGACAGGAAGCGAGAGAGAAACATGGTGGACATACTGGCAGCACACATAATGGACTTTTCTAAGAAATGCATGCACTAGCCATCCATCCATCCAGTCATCAAAGGGGTGTGCACACGCCCCTCGGCGGCGTCAAATCGGGCAGGGGACGAAACAGCCCCCTGCCCAACAGACGCCCCGATTGGGGGGGCCGGAATGCGCTACATCATTCACACACACGACATACATACATTCGTATACGATACACTCATGGGGGAGGGGGGAGAGGGAGGGGGACTGCCTGGGTTGACTTGCCCCGTTCTCTTGGCTGTTTTGGCGTGCGTGTTCGTTTCGCTTCCTCTCCCTCCGTGCATCCATGCCATGCACTTTCTTGTACGTGTTGATTTCCTTCCGAGTGGGCTAGACTAGCTGTTCGTTCGGGTGGCCAGCTGTGATCCCATGCGATCGATGTCATACGATGGATGTCATGTGATGAATGTGGCCCGGCCGACGGAGAAGGAGGAGGAGGAGAGGGGAAACTGTTTTTCCGCCCTCTCATCGTGAGTGGGCCTGACTGTTTCAGTGAGTGATGTCGTTAGTGCTCTGTGCGGGAGTGAGTGCGTGCGTGGGCATACATACAGGTTGGGATCGGCCGTGGGATGGGTTCTTTGGGTGGTGGGTGGGGATAGTTGCACATTTGCTGCTCACAGCACAGCAGCCCGACTGCCTGACTAGTTCTTCTCCTTCTCACTCATTCCTCAGTTTCCCCGATCGATAAGATACATACGTGTCCTGTATGTATCTATGGCATGTATGTATGTCTGCTATGTATGTATGTCTGCACATCGATGCGTCGATGCGTACGAACATAAAGGTGAGTGAGTGTTTGTGTGCGCGCGTTGGCTGCGAGACATGTATGTATGTGTGTATCTTTCTCCCTTCCTTCCTTCCTTCCTTCCTTCGTACGTGCGTGTGTATATACGATATGTATGCATGGATGGATGTATGTGTATGTACGCGTCGCGTATGCGCGCAGGCTGTCTGTCTGTCTGTCTGTCTGTTTGTCTGGTTCATTCGTCGGTGTGTGCGTTCACCACACCTCCACGCACCATCCGTCCCTCTCTCGCCTATGTGCGCATGTAAGTACGTACGTACGCATTTATGAGACTCGCGCGTGACCGACCGACCGATCGATCGATCGATGCATATAAATCCGTACACAGGTTGCAATGCATGCAAGTCAGCACGGAATCACGCCTTGTGCTGAGCAGGGCACATCACATCGTCGACCACGCTGAACTGACTGTCAGTCGCACTTGTCGCTTTGGCTACACGCACACGCGCATGCACACGCAGATCATCCACACGAGCGCACGCAACAGATGGTGTCTCGGGCTATGCAGGCACACATGCATTACACGCAGGAGCCGTCGGCTCTCATCATCCCTACTAGACACGGGAAAATGCCCCCAGCAGACCCCCAACAAAACACCGACTGACGCAAAACCACACCAAAAACAACTCACGCAAAATCAGCCTTCAGTCCATCATGGCATTCGTCATGTCTCATCTCTGTCCTCATCTCCTGTCTCCGTTTGTGACGCCGCCCTGCAGTGTGGGCGACTGCCTGCCTGCTGTGTATGTGCTGTCGCTTGCACCACCGTCAGGCGAGGGCGACAGGTCGAGGAGGGCCTGGTCGTTGGTCGTCATGTAGGACGACAGGATGTCGCTCTTCTCCTCTTCCAAACGACTGCGCAGCTCACGCACCGAATACTGGGGAATGAAGATAATGGTCCAGACCGCCCCGATGAGTGACAGTCCGCCCGACACGGCCATGGTGATCCACTGTGGCTCTACAGTGAGGTAAGCATACATGAAACCTCCGAGCACCGCACCCATCTTTCCTGCAGGAGGAAACACCCAGAAAAACAGAAGACAGAAATGCACCGGGCGCACATGCATGGTTTCCCGCTCACTCACCGCTGGCAGCAGAGATGCCATGGAATGTCCCTTTCACCACCGAGGGGAAGAATTCTCCGGGAATGACGTATGTGCTCATTCCTGGTCCCGCTGCATTGCAGGCCATGGCGAGGGTGAAGAGCGTCACCTTGATCATCGCCGGGGTCCCGTCCACCCCCCACACACCCAGGGCCACCGCCAGGAGACCGAAGAACACGCCCATACCCGTGAAACCAGCGGTTTGGCAGTTCTTGCGGCCCAGAGTCTCAACCAACACTATCGACAGGGCGTAGCTGCAAGAAATGGAAAAGGGAAGGAGATGTCAGGACGGCGCGTGTGCATGATATCATCCTCCGTCAAAGTGTTTTCCAAACCTGGCTCACCCTGGGCTGCTGAAGGCAGTGATGGCCAGCGTGTTTAGCGCCTCAGCCTGCCAAATGATGGACCACCATCCGTTAGTCTATCGCTCCACCTCACTGCTCGTGCGTTCTGCTCACCTTCGGGCCAGACCCCAGGTTCAACAAAACCGTGATTTCGCCCATGAAGGTCCCAATGCCGTAGATGACGATGTCGTACACGGCCCAAGCGACCGCCGTGCCAACCAGGTGGAAGCGCAACCGCTTCAGATAGCGATAGAAACTTCCCTTCTGCCGCCTAAGAGCCGACGTAGCGCGGAACCTGATGAACATCGATAGACAATGGTGGTGAGCCGAGTGCGAGGCGAGGCGTGTGTGGGTGCTTTGTACCTGTCAGACTCCATCATGTTCCACCGGACCGTGAATGCTAAGAGGCACGGGAGACAGCCAATCGCCAGCGACAGCCGCCACGTCAGTCTGGCCGACAGGCCGGCTGACAGCAACGACCAGATGACCAGAGGGGACACGAGGCCGCCCACACCCATCATCGAGTAGACAGTGGCGGCTCGACGCCCCGACGTCTCGGGACTGCTGCTCTCCGAACTGATACAGCGACATTCAAGCACCCCCACAGCACAGATCCATCCATTCAGTGTGAGGACGTCGCCGACACTGCTTGCTTACGTGACGGATGCAGAGAGGGGATACTCGCCACCGATGCCAAAGCCAAGCAGCAGCTGGAAGGCGCATAGCATGGCGGTCAGACTGCACCACGATGTGTGAACGCTGAGGCTGCTGCCGAGTGCACCAATCATCATACAGATGCACGTCACTATGCAGATCACCCGCCGACCTGAGAGAATGGACACAACCATAGGTGGCGGCCTCATGACTCGCCTCTCTGCCTCCCTGCCACCCACCTACTTAAGTACCTATTTGATCAGCGAAGGTGCCAAAGCAGAGTTGTCCCAGCACCGTGCCCACATAAATGACACTCCCCAGCAGGCTCTTCTCATGCACTGTCAGCGGCACTCCTCTCGCCTCGCCGACCAGGTCCTTGACGAGATTGATCAGCGTGAGGAAGTACAAATCACAGAATATCCCCAGGGCTGAACTGACCATGGCCATTTGGCCGGCCCGCCTCTGCTTGGCCTCGTCGACTGGCCCTTCTCTTTCGACAACCTCAGCTGCATCGAGATAGACCCGCCGTGTGTCGCTCGCACGGACTTGCGGGGAAGTCATGTCAGGAGGCATAGAGCGATGCAGCTCGGAGGGCGTGGAGGCTGTCGTATACGCGGAGGAGGCCGCGATAAGCGGCGTGAGTTCTTCTGCTGCTGTCCTGGGGTAGTCGATGCGCTGTTTGAGCTGCTGAGGCATGACTTACAGGCAGTCAGGCCGCCGCCAGCATCATCTTTCAAGCGGGAGCTGCTGGTGGTGCCGTTCGGAGTTAGAGCGGAGACCGAGTTACACGGGCGAGATCTACGAGACATGAATTGCGATGGATGTGGACCCAAGCTTGCGTGTCCATGAGACCTCCGTCGTCACGGTAGCTGCAGATCTCCCGCTGAGGAGGAGGTCACGTTTGTTGGCTGGTTTCTTCCCAGGTGACGCACTCTGGGCATTTGCTGACCTGACAACCGGCGACGAGTTGGTCCGCCTCCGCCGCTTGTCGTGAGATGCGATGAATATGGCGCTCTTACTACTAAGACTACCCCCCCATGATTGAGTTGGTGATTTCTCGGCTGTTTCTCCTCCTT